ACTACTCCAATGATGAACGCATTAAGACTACAAACAAGGGGGTAATCACTACAGAAAGTAGGTGTACACATTTCTATAAAAGTTAAAGTAAAAGTGACAAAAAGTTGACTGAAAGTGATGAAAATTCCCCTTCATGCTCTTCGAAGAGGCAAGGTGGTCTGTGAGGCATTTTGGAGTGGATTTCTAACCCAAACAATAAATAGTTCCCCTATTTGATTTAGAGCTTAAATTCTCACTATCCTCTTCAATATACTTTAATATAGCTAAGATACTGTCAATATTTCAAATATTACTGTTGAGTGAAGAGTGAAGAGTTAAATATTTTCCACCCGCTGCTAGATAACCGTGTACCGGGAGAAGTATTTTACCCTATAATTTTACCCAGGGTATATTTCTGGGGCGAAAATCCTTTTCATCTCTGAGGGAAGAATTTGATTATTGGTCAAAATTAAACTCCAAAATAAATAAGGCCCCACAAGCCCGAGATTAGGGAGACGACCAGGGATGCGTCCAGGGATGCTCGCTCGAGTTCCAGAAGTCGGACTTTTGGCTGGAGACAAGGCCCAGTATTGGTTGCGAGGATTTTCCTGGTCCAGGAGAGTAATGTCTGAAAATTTCAAACACAACTCCTTTGGGTTATTCAAGCCTCGCAATTTAATTTAATTCTAGCCCCGAATTATTTTTTTTTCGGGGCCAAATAGCAAAATTATTTTGATTTAGCCCTTGGATGTGCCCGAATCGCGGGGGTTAATCACTACAGAAAGTACAAAAATTTGTGCTGCTTGCGCCCCCCACAGAAAAACCCTGTGGTGTTGCCCACTACTGGCTGCACTGTGTTTTAGGTGTGGTTCCAGTTCTGTAGTGTTCCCTACGATTTACCACAGGATTTGTTACACACTAACTGGATTTGTATACTTTATTTGTACAAACATACACTCTAAATGTAAAAGAACAATTTTGCCCACTGAAATGGAACGGATTCGTGCACATCCAGAAAGGATGCAATTTTGTTACTAAAATTGGACAAAATTGTGTAAGTCCTCACACAATCTGTGTAGTTTTCGGAAAAAATTGCATAATTTCTTGATGTGTACGAATCCCTTCCATTTCTATGAACAAAATAGTCCTTTTAGAGTCCCTGTAGAGTGTACACAATCACATTTTTTGAACACATTTCTGAGTTTAATTGAACACTTTTGTGCATTCATTTGTAGGAGATCAATCACTTTGGCGTGAAAAATTGTGCGAAATGAGACGAAGGTTTAACTTGGTGCAAACGTTTGCACAAAAACATTAAAATTCATTTAGTGTGTACAGTGCATTCAAGTGGGAATAACAGAAGAATATTTCAAAAAGGCTCTGGGACAACACTTCCCACCACGGTGGAGGGAGAGACGATGGGGGCACGAGGGTCACCCAGCATAGATAATCTACATCTAACGTGCCGGCACAGAGTACTTGCAGTCAAGGCCTTGCCCGGGCCCACCTCCCGGGCGACAGGGAGTCGGTAGAAGCCCGTCCCGCTCAAGCTGATAAGTCTTGGCGTCCCACCTATATACCTCCACGGCGGCCCTGACTGAAGGTAGTGTGGACAGGCCCGACAGATGGCCCCGACCGGACGTTAACCCCCCCAACCGTTTGAATTTCTGGAACCACGAGCAGACCTGTCGTGCCCCCAACGTCTTTCCCTCCATCGTGGGTGCTCTCTAAACTAAATTCAAAGAGGTGGTTTTTGTACAAAACTGCCATATTTTTAGTAAAGCCACCCTTTCAACTGTTCTTTGCACAATGCACCACTTACCTCGTTCGCTGGGGGGTTGACGGACTCGCCGGTAGTCGGATGCTCTTGAGATGACATGATGGGAGCGCGAATCTCGGACGCGATGCGATAGGCAAGCGGCGGTGCGGACACGTCTGAACTCACAACACGACTGGTAGCCAACAACGGCGACAACGGCCAGCGATGCGAATGACGCATGGCGCTTCGG